CCGAGATGGACTTCAAGTAAGAAGTTAGTTATCCATATGGGCGTGGAGGGGGAGAATTATTAACTCCAGTCCACATGGAGTAGTTGGAGGTTGGAGGTTGGTGGTTAGGTCTCAAAGTCAAGAAGTAAGAGGGAGATGGCAGGTGAAACCAACCCAAAACTCCTTTATCTTGACTTTGTTCCCTCTGTTTTATATATAAATAGAGGCTAAGAGGAAAAGAAGAACAACATAGAAAAAGAAGGAAACACAAAGTGTATGTATCTGTGAGGTGAGAGTGCTATAGAGAGAGAGAGTGAAGTGTGAGTGTTATACAACTCCCTCCGAAAAAAATTCTATAGTGGATATCTCTCCACCAAATCACGTAAATCTCTTATGTTTTTTTGTGTAATTGATTTCTAAAGTGCATTTATCCTAACACAGATATGCCTTGTAACTAGTCCAAAAAGTCCCCTTCCCCAAAATCTCGGCTTCTGTGCCCAATAACTCATTCATTCCAAACACCCTACCCCTATTCCCAAACACCACCAACCCATCACTTCTATTACTATCTTCACTTTCCGATCGACTACTATTCTTTGCCATCATTGTTTTTTGATATTCCTTTGTGATGAACTTGGGAGTTCCTTGAGAAAGCATCAAAATGCTATTCTTCAAGCCTTATCCCTAGTTTTCTTTTCTTTTCCTTTCTTTTCTTTTCTGTATTTGCTTTCCTAATTATACACTAAAGTCTACGCGGCGTGTGAATATGTGAATGAGAAACCAAAATGAAAGTGTGATGAAAATGACCTTTATTTTTCTTTCTGTTTCACCTTTCTTTTTTTCATATGCTCTTGCTTTTTCTTTTTGGCTTTCAAGCATCCTTTCTGTTTGTCCTCTTTCATGCAGTGTATGTTGGAATTTTGAACTTTGATATTATTTTTAATGTTGAGTAAAATCTGAATTATTAATGCCGTTGATTTCAATAGGGTAGTGGTAGAGAGATGATTCTGATTTGTAACTGTTTGATAATATCTATACTATTATTAAAAGCCAACAGGAATTTTGGTGTCCTGAAGTCTCTCCAAATTTTTTTTTGTATTTTTCCTAAAATGACCTTAACAATTATATAATTTTTACACTAATATCAATTTGTAACTAAGGCTAACATCATAAATTCAAACCAACCAATTCCACCACCCCACGTTCCCAAACTGCACAGCAGTTTTAAATCAGTTAATTTTGTTTTGAACGATTGAAACCTCGGGAGAGAGAGAGAGAGAGAGAGAGAGAGATCAGATTTGATGAAGTAGAGATTGGAGAATGAAAGACTTCATCAACAACGGAGATTTCATCAACATTCCTACAGCTCTGTTTGCACACGCATCGCGTGTGCCCAGCTGCTAGTTAATTACATGCCTGTGATGTCATATTATCTTGTGTAAATTACACTCACCTCCCTTAAGGTTTCTGACAAATATATGAATATTTTTTCTAGTTTGAATAATTACACTAACTTCTCATACTTTAAGTAACGACGTTAGTTGTATATACTAAATAACATTATTACCTGTGCTAACAGAAGTCAAAAAATGAGAGAATCTTAATAATGTCAGTTAAAGTATGAGAAGTTTATATAATGGATAAATTACAAATACACCCTCTGAGATTTGATTAAAATACGAATCGCTCCTGTAGTTTTGGAATTACATTCTATCCCTTGAGATTTCTAATTTCATAACAAATTGTCCCTTTTATTAATAAATCATCAAGTCAATTAACAGTTTTTAATAATGTTAGAAAAACATGTATCAATTAATAATTTAGATAATTTTATTATTGTATAGGAGAGTAATTATGAATTTTATTTTTTTAGTTAATTCTGTTAAATAAAAAATACTAACAATGAGGTATTTGTAATTTTTCAAATCACAAGAGGTAATTTATATTTTAAGCAAATCTCGAAATATAATTTACCCTTATATAATTATTCAAATCACAAAAAAAAATTCAATATTTATTAAAAATCTCAAGAGAGTTGCGTGTAATTTACCTTATTATCTTTTATATAAGAAGACGTATTCAAGAAACAAAAAAAGTTCTAGAATTGGTCAATGGCCATGAATATTAAGCAAACAATTATTTCTTGATTTGATTTTATTTGAATACAATGTATATTAACACACAAAAGTCTATCGTGGAGTGTGATTTACGTGCATAAAAAAAACAAACTGAAATGTTTTTAAAAATAATTTTTGTAATTTTGAATTTGTATTTTTTTGTTTTTATTTTTAGTGATCGTTTTTTATATTCTAATCAAATTATTATTATTATAATTTTTACTTTTACTTTTTTAGATTCAATATACTTAAAAAAATATATAAAATTTATGAAAATTCTTGACAAATTCTCTAAAATTTGTGAAAAAAATCTTTTTAGTTTCACATTTTCTTTTTCTTTTTTACCACCGTTGTAATGAATTTTTTTATGTTATTCCACCATCTCTTTGCTCTCTTCAAGTTCATATTGAAATTTGGACTTCCATATTTTTATTAGTCTTTAAGAACCATTAATGATTTTGTCTCTTTTTGACAAAGAGATTAAAAATAACTTTTTAACTTTTAATATCTTTAAAGTCACGTCATCTTTTTATCTTTTTATATAATTTTTCACAAAAAATTTTAAAAAAAAATCAAAAAAAAAAAAAAAAATTCAAAAAAATACCTTTTAACTTATTTTCCAAAATAACCCAAGCTCTAACTATTCATTTTAAACAACAACATCAAGCTCTTGGGTTCATCTTCAATAATTGTCTTGTGGTTCTCTACTCTAAATAATAGCTTATGAAATTTAGCTAAAGATCACTACTTTAAACACTTGACAAAGTAAAAATTGTATCAGATTAACTAATACAACCTTTACCTTAGAAGTGGTATCGGGGAAAATCTCCCAAGTTTGCAAATCATTGATGATTTTTATCCTAAACTTTAATCCATAACCAATACTGATCCAGATATTTGGAAAAACTACAAAAGAAAAAAAAGTTCAAAGTATTTAGCCAGCACAATATCAACTGAAAACAGTTAAACACACACCACTGAGCTAACATAGAGTTGCTGAGCAGTAAAACCTATAATTTACTCGCAAAATAAAATACATCCGGAGCTTTAACATCTTAAAACAACTAAGCATTTCAATCTTTAAAACAATTGCTTCAAGAGCTTAAATTAAAATGAGAAAACAGTAATTACAGTATACATCCACCTTTACTCCTAAGCAAAGTAGTTAATTCAAAACTCATGATGGCATTAACCTGTTTGATATGTTGTGCAAAAAAAAAAAAAAGATACAAAGATTATGAAACTCAAAGAACTGCAGTAAGATTAATCAATGTAATAGACTAAAATAATGAATCATTCAGAGTCCTTTTCTTTTGAAGTAGCCATAGTTCATCTTAGCCCACAAATTTCCTCAATCCTTTTGGTTACATCCTCCATCGAAGGTCGCCTACCAGGGTGTTGAGAAGTGCAATGAATTCCAAGATGTAGCAACCGAACCAATTCCTCCTCTTTGTTCTGGTACTTGAACAACTCATGATCAAATACATCAATTGTCCTCTTCTCTCGAACAGCTGACTTTACCCACCTCGGAAGGTCAGTTCCTTCCTCTTTCCAATGATCATCGGTTGGAGTCATTCTTGTTAGCAGTTCCAAAAGCACGACTCCAAAACTGTAGACATCAGCCTTTTGGGAAATTTTGTGAGAATCCATTGCCTCCGGTGCACAATAACCATTCATGCTAACAGTGGAAGTGGAAGAAACAAGTTGGACTATACCATATTCCGAAACACATGCACCGTAGTTATTAGTGAGGATAATGTTGGATGACTTGATATTTCCATGGGAAATGTTGGAGCCTAACGAATGAAGATACTCAATGCCGCGGGCAGCTCCCAAAGCAATTTTACTCCTAATTTGCCATGTCAATGGCTCCCTATCCTCTGCCCTCTTTCCTATAAACCGAAACCATAAAAAAGGAGAAAACCAAGTCAGACAATCCAGTACTACTAGGGTTTTGAAATTCAAGTGTATATGTTCATGAGGATCGCTTGTGCCTTCGTTCCAAATCCCTTTTTATCACACGATCAAGTCTTTTAGGTTTTGAGACATGGGGACAAAGAAAAAGTGACATGTGATTCTTACTCATAAAATGATATAACAATATTCGATTAATTATATATCAATATATTTAATATTGATTTTTTTATGACATTGACTAATCTTGAGACTCACGCAAAGTGTCCCTTCACAAATAGGTTAGGCAAATCTCGGGCTATGTTTGCAGGTGTGACCCCAAAGGGATTGATAACACTCAATGGGAATCGATCCTTAGACTTGATGTTTCATGAGGTACCAAGGTCCAATTGAAGATTTTCTCGTTTCCATTTTCCCTTGAGTGAATCATGCATATATTCAATGTGTACAACAAATTGAAAGACAAAAAAACAGAGAACATGAAAAAAGGACAACTATGGTCATTAAGCATGAAAGTGAAAAACAGAGCATACCAAATATAACCAAATGCAAAATGAATTTTCAACTCACCATGTAAAAGAGTAGATAAGCCTCCCATGGGCAAACACTCACAAACAAGCATCTTCTCCCCCCTTCCATAATAATAGGCTTTAAGAGGCACCAAATTCTCATGACCCAACATTCCCAAATGCTCAACCTTCTCTCTAAATTCTATCTCATCAATACAAACATTTCTCAGCCTCTTCACCACCACCACCACCACCTCATTCTCAACCCTCAAACATGCCCTGTAACTACTCCCAAATGTCCCATTCCCCAACACATCCGCCGACGCCGTCAACAACTCCTCCAAACTAAAAACCACATTTTCATCCCCTAAAAACACCAACTCATTATTCTTCACAGCATTCCCATTTTCTCTCATTAGTAATGGTTTCGGGCTCCGGCAATCGAAGTCCTGCGGCATCGAAGGCAAGCTTGAAATCTCGGCTTGTCGGCTTGTTTTTTCACTAGTACCATTTCTCCGCCGAATGATCAAGACTATGATGATCAACAACAATACCATCACAGAACCAATTACAATTCCGGCGATCACTCCGGCGGATAGCTTGTTTCCATTGTTTCGATCACTTGGACAAGCACCGAGTGGTGAACCGCATAGAGAATTACCCAGAAATGAATTTGAAGAAAAATTGATCAACCTTGATGGGATTGAACCGTTCAATTTATTGTACGAAACGTTGATTTTTTGAAGAGAAGTGAGATTGTTTAGATCCGGAATCGACCCATTGAGATTGTTGTTTTCTAAATACAGTTTTTTGAGGTTGGTAAGGTTGTTTATCGCCGGCGATATCTCGCCGGAGAAATTGTTTCGGGCGAGGTTGAGGACAGTAAGATTGCTCAAGCGGAACAGGGTGGCCGGAATTTGGCCGGAGAA